TGCCATGCACTCAGGGAGTCGATGCAAGCTGCCATGCACTCAGGGAGTCGATGCAAGCTGCCATGCACTCAGGGAGTCGATGCAAGCTGCCATGCACTCAGGGAGTCGATGCAAGCTGCCATGCACTCAGGGAGTCGATGCAAGCTGCCATGCACTCAGGGAGTCGATGCAAGCTGCCATGCACTCAGGGAGTCGATGCAAGCTGCCATGCACTCAGGGAGTCGATGCAAGCTGCCATGCACTCAGGGAGTCGATGCAAGCTGCCATGCACTCAGGGAGTCGATGCAAGCTGCCATGCACTCAGGGAGTCGATGCAAGCTGCCATGCACTCAGGGAGTCGATGCAAGCTGCCATGCACTCAGGGAGTCGATGCAAGCTGCCATGCACTCAGGGAGTCGATGCAAGCTGCCATGCACTCAGGGAGTCGATGCAAGCTGCCATGCACTCAGGGAGTCGATGCAAGCTGCCATGCACTCAGGGAGTCGATGCAAGCTGCCATGCACTCAGGGAGTCGATGCAAGCTGCATGCACTCAGGGAGTCGATGCAAGCTGCCATGCACTCAGGGAGTCGATGCAAGCTGCCATGCACTCAGGGAGTCGATGCAAGCTGCCATGCACTCAGGGAGTCGATGCAAGCTGCCATGCACTCAGGGAGTCGATGCAAGCTGCCATGCACTCAGGGAGTCGATGCAAGCTGCCATGCACTCAGGGAGTCGATGCAAGCTGCCATGCACTCAGGGAGTCGATGCAAGCTGCCATGCACTCAGGGAGTCGATGCAAGCTGCCATGCACTCAGGGAGTCGATGCAAGCTGCCATGCACTCAGGGAGTCGATGCAAGCTGCCATGCACTCAGGGAGTCGATGCAAGCTGCCATGCACTCAGGGAGTCGATGCAAGCTGCCATGCACTCAGGGAGTCGATGCAAGCTGCCATGCACTCAATCGATGGGAGTCGATGCAAGCTGCCATGCACTCAGGGAGTCGATGCAAGCTGCCATGCACTCAGGGAGTCGATGCAAGCTGCCATGCACTCAGGGAGTCGATGCAAGCTGCCATGCACTCAGGGGAGTCGATGCAAGCTGCCATGCACTCAGGAGTGATGCAGCTGCCTGCATCAGGGAGTCGATGCAAGCTGCCATGCACTCAGGGAGTCGATGCAAGCTGCCATGCACTCAGGGAGTCGATGCAAGCTGCCATGCACTCAGGGAGTCGATGCAAGCTGCCATGCACTCAGGGAGTCGATGCAAGCTGCCATGCACTCAGGGAGTCGATGCAAGCTGCCATGCACTCAGGGAGTTGATGCAAGCTGCCATGCACTCAGGGAGTCGATGCAAGCTGCCATGCACTCAGGGAGTCGATGCAAGCTGCCATGCACTCAGGGAGTCGATGCAAGCTGCCATGCACTCAGGGAGTCGATGCAAGCTGCCATGCACTCAGGGAGTCGATGCAAGCTGCCATGCACTCAGGGAGTTGATGCAAGCTGCCATGCACTCAGGGAGTCGATGCAAGCTGCCATGCACTCAGGGAGTCGATGCAAGCTGCCATGCACTCAGGGAGTCGATGCAAGCTGCCATGCACTCAGGGAGTCGATGCAAGCTGCCATGCACTCAGGGAGTCGATGCAAGCTGCCATGCACTCAGGGAGTCGATGCAAGCTGCCATGCACTCAGGGAGTCGATGCAAGCTGCCATGCACTCAGGGAGTCGATGCAAGCTGCCATGCACTCAGGGAGTCGATGCAAGCTGCCATGCACTCAGGGAGTCGATGCAAGCTGCATGCACTCAGGGAGTGATGCAAGCTGCCAGGGAGTCGATGCAAGCTGCCGCATCAGGAGTGATGCAGCTGCATGCACTCGGGAGTCGATGCAAGCTGCCATGCACTCAGGGAGTCGATGCAAGCTGCCATGCACTCAGGGAGTCGATGCAAGCTGCCATGCACTCAGGGAGTCGATGCAAGCTGCCATGCACTCAGGGAGTCGATGCAAGCTGCCATGCACTCAGGGAGTCGATGCAAGCTGCCATGCACTCAGGGAGTCGATGCAAGCTGCCATGCACTCAGGGAGTCGATGCAAGCTGCCATGCACTCAGGGAGTCGATGCAAGCTGCCATGCACTCAGGGAGTCGATGCAAGCTGCCATGCACTCAGGGAGTCGATGCAAGCTGCCATGCACTCAGGGAGTCGATGCAAGCTGCCATGCACTCAGGGAGTCGATGCAAGCTGCCATGCACTCAGGGAGTGATGCAAGCTGCCATGCACTCAGGGAGTCGATGCAAGCTGCCATGCACTCAGGGAGTCGATGCAAGCTGCCATGCACTCAGGGAGTCGATGCAAGCTGCCATGCACTCAGGGAGTCGATGCAAGCTGCCATGCACTCAGGGAGTCGATGCAAGCTGCCATGCACTCAGGGAGTCGATGCAAGCTGCCATGCACTCAGGGAGTCGATGCAAGCTGCCATGCACTCAGGGAGTCGATGCAAGCTGCCATGCACTCAGGGAGTCGATGCAAGCTGCCATGCACTCAGGGAGTCGATGCAAGCTGCCATGCACTCAGGGAGTCGATGCAAGCTGCCATGCACTCAGGGAGTCGATGCAAGCTGCCATGCACTCAGGGAGTCGATGCAAGCTGCCATGCACTCAGGGAGTCGATGCAAGCTGCCATGCACTCAGGGAGTCGATGCAAGCTGCCATGCACTCAGGGAGTCGATGCAAGCTGCCATGCACTCAGGGAGTCGATGCAAGCTGCCATGCACTCAGGGAGTCGATGCAAGCTGCCATGCACTCAGGGAGTCGATGCAAGCTGCCATGCACTCAGGGAGTCGATGCAAGCTGCCATGCACTCAGGGAGTTGATGCAAGCTGCCATGCACTCAGGGAGTCGATGCAAGCTGCCATGCACTCAGGGAGTCGATGCAAGCTGCCATGCACTCAGGGAGTCGATGCAAGCTGCCATGCACTCAGGGAGTCGATGCAAGCTGCCATGCACTCAGGGAGTCGATGCAAGCTGCCATGCACTCAGGGAGTCGATGCAAGCTGCCATGCACTCAGGGAGTCGATGCAAGCTGCCATGCACTCAGGGAGTCGATGCAAGCTGCCATGCACTCAGGGAGTCGATGCAAGCTGCCATGCACTCAGGGAGTCGATGCAAGCTGCCATGCACTCAGGGAGTCGATGCAAGCTGCCATGCACTCAGGGAGTCGATGCAAGCTGCCATGCACTCAGGGAGTCGATGCAAGCTGCCATGCACTCAGGGAGTCGATGCAAGCTGCCATGCACTCAGGGAGTCGATGCAAGCTGCCATGCACTCAGGGAGTCGATGCAAGCTGCCATGCACTCAGGGAGTCGATGCAAGCTGCCATGCACTCAGGGAGTTGATGCAAGCTGCCATGCACTCAGGGAGTCGATGCAAGCTGCCATGCACTCAGGGAGTCGATGCAAGCTGCATGCACAGGAGTCGATGCAAGCTGCCATGCACTCAGGGAGTCGATGCAAGCTGCCATGCACTCAGGGAGTCGATGCAAGCTGCCATGCACTCAGGGAGTCGATGCAAGCTGCCATGCACTCAGGGAGTTGATGCAAGCTGCCATGCACTCAGGGAGTCGATGCAAGCTGCCATGCACTCAGGGAGTCGATGCAAGCTGCCATGCACTCAGGGAGTCGATGCAAGCTGCCATGCACTCAGGGAGTCGATGCAAGCTGCCATGCACTCAGGGAGTCGATGCAAGCTGCCATGCACTCAGGGAGTCGATGCAAGCTGCCATGCACTCAGGGAGTCGATGCAAGCTGCCATGCACTCAGGGAGTCGATGCAAGCTGCCATGCACTCAGGGAGTCGATGCAAGCTGCCATGCACTCAGGGAGTCGATGCAAGCTGCCATGCACTCAGGGAGTCGATGCAAGCTGCCATGCACTCAGGGAGTCGATGCAAGCTGCCATGCACTCAGGGAGTCGATGCAAGCTGCCATGCACTCAGGGAGTCGATGCAAGCTGCCATGCACTCAGGGAGTCGATGCAAGCTGCCATGCACTCAGGGAGTCGATGCAAGCTGCCATGCACTCAGGGAGTCGATGCAAGCTGCCATGCACTCAGGGAGTCGATGCAAGCTGCCATGCACTCAGGGAGTCGATGCAAGCTGCCATGCACTCAGGGAGTCGATGCAAGCTGCCATGCACTCAGGGAGTCGATGCAAGCTGCCATGCACTCAGGGAGTCGATGCAAGCTGCCATGCACTCAGGGAGTTGATGCAAGCTGCCATGCACTCAGGGAGTCGATGCAAGCTGCCATGCACTCAGGGAGTCGATGCAAGCTGCCATGCACTCAGGGAGTCGATGCAAGCTGCCATGCACTCAGGGAGTCGATGCAAGCTGCCATGCACTCAGGGAGTCGATGCAAGCTGCCATGCACTCAGGGAGTTGATGCAAGCTGCCATGCACTCAGGGAGTTGATGCAAGCTGCCATGCACTCAGGGAGTCGATGCAAGCTGCCATGCACTCAGGGAGTTGATGCAAGCTGCCATGCACTCAGGGAGTCGATGCAAGCTGCCATGCACTCAGGGAGTCGATGCAAGCTGCCATGCACTCAGGGAGTCGATGCAAGCTGCCATGCACTCAGGGAGTCGATGCAAGCTGCCATGCACTCAGGGAGTCGATGCAAGCTGCCATGCACTCAGGGAGTCGATGCAAGCTGCCATGCACTCAGGGAGTCGATGCAAGCTGCCATGCACTCAGGGAGTCGATGCAAGCTGCCATGCACTCAGGGAGTCGATGCAAGCTGCCATGCACTCAGGGAGTCGATGCAAGCTGCCATGCACTCAGGGAGTCGATGCAAGCTGCCTCTGAGTTATCCCACTTGCAGCGTGGTGTGCCTCCGAGCTACCCCACCTGCAGCGTGGTGTGCCTCGGAGTTACCCCACCTGCAGCGTGGTGTGTCTCCGAGTTACCCCACCTGCAGCGTGGTGTGCCTCCGAGTTACCCCACCTGCAGCGTGGTGTGTCTCCGAGTTACCCCACCTGCAGCGTGGTGTGTGACATGATGAGTCGCGAGGAGGGCGAGGAGGGGTCAGGCGCCCACCGCACCCGGTTGACCATGGACGCTGGAGGGAGACGGGGAAAGACGGAATGGAAAGAGGGGATGGGAAGACGGGGAGACGAGGGGGAAAGGGGGAGACGAGGGGGAAGTCGGGGAGACGAGGGGGAAAGGGGGGGGGCAGGGGTGGTGGGGGAGGAAGAAGGGCAGGGGTGTTTGAGAACCGTTTTGTTCACCCCAGGTGGAAGGAGGGATGGGATGGGAGAGAGAAGTGGGAGAGGGGATGGATGGGGAGACGGGCAACGGCAAGGCTGGGGATGGGGCGGAGGATTAAGGGAGCAGGTAAGCTGATGGGGGAAGACAAATGAATGCTGGGAAATACCGGTACTGATACTTACCAAAATGGGGACGCGTAGCAAAAATTTATGCTTAGCCACGAGTGGCAAGTTCAAGAACGAGCGCTTACCACGGAACTTCTTATTCTGCTCCTTCACTATGGGCGAGCCGTCCAGCTGTTGCGACAGGAATGGGTGCCAAGGCAAGGGGAAGCAAGGGGGGGTGGGAGGAGGAGACGGGGAAGGGGTGAGAAGTAAATGATCATCTTCACACGCTGATAAAGAGATGACTGTTGAGGCGCCTCAACTTCACGCACTGCCCCCCCCCATAGCACCTTGACGCGCCGCGGTATCTCTGTATGCTGTGTGGACTCAACATGCTCTTTCCCCTCCCCTCTCACTGTGGCAGAGAGACAGCAGCTGGATGGTGCAGCCGCCCACCTCCTTGCCAATGCGCATCAGCAGCAGCACGGGGCACGCCTCCACGGTAACGACCTCGCGCGCCTCTACAATGTGCGTTCCGTCTATCGTGCTCTCTTTCCCCTCTTGCGCCCTCATCCTCCCACTGTGCTCTCCCTACCCTTTCCACACTCTTCCCCTCCCCTCTTGTGCACTCCTCCCCTCTTGCGCACTCTTCCCCTCCCCTCTTGAGGCTCTCACCGTGGCAGATGGCACCCGCCAGCCCCCTCATCAACGCGCACAAGCAGCACGGGGCACACCTCCACCGTGAAGAACTGCACGTGACACCTCTCAGGCGCCCCTATTCAGTGCACCTGTGCTGCCCCTCCCATTGTGCTCTCCCTCCCTCCCACTCACCGTGGCAGAGAGCAGCCGAATCGTGCAGCCATCTGCTTCCTCATCGACCCGCACGAGCAGCACGGGGCACACCTCCACCGTGAAGAACTTCACGCGGTGCGCGTAGCAGCGGAACGTGCTGCCGTCCACGCGCTCGATGCGCTCCGCGTCCAGCACCGAGTACTGGGAGGCGGGCAGGGTCATGTACTCCGCTGCGCAGGGGGGGGGAGTGGGGGCAGAGAGGGAGGGGGGGGGGGCTTCTTGTGGTGCTGCCGTCCACGCGCTCGATGCGCTCTGCGTCCAGCAGTACTGCGACGCGGGGAGCGTCATGTACTCCGCTGCACAGAGTCAGGGAAATCAGGGGGGGAATGTTGGCAGGTGTGGCACAGGGCACGCCCCAGGAGGGGTTTCCCCTACACGGCTACAGGCAAAACGCCTGGGGGGGTCGTGAGTGCGCTGACCCACCACCTCAGCGGCGGAGTTGGGGATTTGTGTTGCCGTCCACGCGCTCGATGCGCTCCACGACCAGCATGGAGTGATGCGAGGCGGGCAGGGCCATGTACTCCGCTGGAGTAAAGGGGGGGAGGGAGGAGGGGGTAGCAGGCGGTGACAGGGACGTGCGAGGAGAGGGGAGGGAGGGTTGGGAGGGTGGTCAGGGGGGGAACCGGTGTCATGCACTCCGCCTCAAGGGCGCGGTTGGCGGAAAGAGCGAACGGCGGAAGGGACGGAGGGAGGGGGAGGGGACAAATGGCGGAAACAATCATGCTGCGTGCTGCGCGGACATGCGCGGATCCACGCCTTCCTGAAATAGAAGCCCGGCCGACGCCAACGGCCTACCAGGCTCACGGGCTCATTCTGATTTCTCGTTGTATTTTGAGTCGACTCAAAATACGGCTCACAGGCTCACGGGCTCATTCTGATTTCTCTGTAACTCTCTTTACTTCACGCAACCCGCGATCGCACCTAGAGGGTGGTTCTCTTTGTCGCCAAGCTGGACCTGGCGAATTGAACGCCAATCTCTCTCGTCACGTAACCACCTACTCGCAAAGAGGCTTCGCTTGATTTTTGTCGACTAGAATATCACCTACGACCCACCTAGAGGCTTCTCTTTCTCGTCCAGTTGGACCTGCTGGCTCCACGTGGCGCTCATGCGCGCCCAGTTCTCGTCCGACAGTGCCGCCACCGCCTCTAGCTCGCGCTCCTCTTCCGCCAGCGACGCCACCGCCACGCGCCGGCTGCGGCCTCCGCTGCGCCTTACTGCCGCGCGAAGGCTCTCACTCCGCACGCCAGCGCCAGCGTCGCTAGCGAATGATACTCTCGCGATTGCAGCTCTGCTGGATAGGGAACTTTCGAGACGGTGATTTACGGCGGCCCGCGATTGACGCACTCCCAGCGCTACCTGCGCGGCGGCTACGGCGGAGCCGTGCGCGAGTGCGGCTTCCGCCATGATGGCAGGGGGGCGAAGGCGAAGGGCGCGGCGACTGGACGGATAGGCGCTGGAGCGGAGAGTTGCAACGTAAGTCCAGCGAAGGATGTTGCGCTAATGAGAAGATTGATCCCGCACGAACGGGAGTTATGATTCCCCCAAATTCTCAGGCTAGACTAGACTGCTGCTCTGAAGTGGAAGCTATTCTATGGAGGTAATTGAACTTCCGGCAGTCCCAAGGTTCGCTCAGTTCCGCAATGGCGCTGACTGCGCTGGTTCCCAGCGCAGGAAAGGGGAGGCTTGGGTCCACGCGCTTGGCGGAAAGTGCACTCTGCCGAATGTCAGCCACGCGGCATCTACTGATTTGATCGGACGAATTCAAAGAATCGAGAGGTGGTGGGGTGGAGGAGGCGACACGATTGGCTGGAAGTTTCTCAATACGTAGGGTAACATCTGGCGATCGTCGCTTAGAATTTTCGGTGATTGGCCGTCGACTTTCCGAGAAAAAACTATGAAATGCAATTACTAAGTTAGGCTATAAAATCCGGGGTGGTTTCCCTACAGCGGGTACGTTTACGCCCTACTTCCCTCCTCCCCTTTGATTGCGCCAGCCGTCACAGCGCCATGGCTGCGCGAGTAGCTGCGCGGCTGCTAAGGGCTTCCGCCGGCGCTGCTTCCGCGCCCAAGCGTATCCTGTTCCCCGCGTCCTCTTCCCGCTCATCGCTTGTCCAGCCTTCCCCACCACTCCCTCACTCCCGCGCTTTTTCCCGCACCGCCAGTCACCAGTCACCGATCTCTCAGATATCGCCTGCAGCCACGCGACTGCGCGACAGCTTGATCTGTTTTGAGAGCGCGTGGCAGCGGCGATGGCTCTCGTCAGATCCAAGCAAAGGCCCCCCTGATATGGCATTCTCAACAGGTTCGGAAGTAGTAGGTTCGGCAGGCGCAGGCTCGGGAAGCGCAGACCCAGCAGAGAAAGATTTGGGAGAGGATACAGTAGCGGCGGAGGTAGCTGGCGCGGGGGAGCAGGTGGGGGAGGCGGAGTGGGGGACGTACCACGACCGGCGCGTGGCGGTGCGGAGCTTCAGCGGGGAGGCGCGCGGAGAGGCGGTGCTGGACGGGACTATATTCGACGTGCCTATAAGGAAGGACATCGTTCACCGCGTGGTGTGCTGGCAACTCGCCAAGAGGCGGCAGGTGCGGTGGAGAGGAGAGGGGAGGTGGGGGGAGGGGGGAACGGGGGGAGAGGGGCCTTGAGAGGGAGGTCAGGGGAGGAGGGTTGGAAGGGGACGGACGGACGGACGGACGGACGGACGGACGGACGGAGTGGTGAATTGAGGTTATGATGGCTTCTGGGTGGGCGAGGTGAGGGGTTCGTCCAGCAAGCCCCTTACCCTTCTCACCGCTCCCACCCCCCTTCACCCCGCTCATTCTGACCCTCCATCGATCTTCCCCTCAATCTCACAGGGCACGCACAGCACCAAGAGGGTGGGCGAGGTGCGGGGGTCGTCCAGCAAGCCGTGGAAGCAGAAGGGCACCGGGCAGGCGAGACACGGGTCGCGCAGGGGACCGCAGGTGAGGGGTCTGCTTGCCTACCGTCGCTGCCTGCTGCCTCTTGCTAGCACGTGCCAGGCCATGCCTGCTCAACCACCCTCCACCTCTCTGAATGCTCGGCCCGCGCGTGTCCCGTATCAGTTTCGCTTTCACACAGCTCCAAGCCTCTCCTTCGCTCTCATGCCACACTCCCGTGCAAAACCCCATTCCCAACTTCCCCCCGTTACCCATCCTCCCATCAGTTTCGAATTGGTGCTGCCATGCACAGCCCCGAGCCACATCTTTTTCGGCTTGATATTTAGCCTCACCATAAGCCCTTTTTCCCGTTGCACCATTGGCACCCACCAGTTCCGAGGCGGTGCCACCATGCACGGCCCCAAGCCGCGCTCGCACGCCTTCTCGCTCAACAAGAAGGTCCGCGCGCTCGGACTCAAGGCGGCGCTGTCTGCTCGATTGAGAGAAGGGCAGGTGAGCACGCTGTGAGGATGTTGAGTGCATTCCTCAAGGGCTCAAGGCGGCGCTGTCGGCTCGGCTAAGGGAAGGGCAGGTGAGAGAGCAGGCTGCCAGCTGCCCCTTGCCCGTTGCCTCCTTGATCCACATGCTAGCAACAGTGGCCCCTAATTTCTCTCCTCTTTACCTTTCTCTCACTCTCCTCCCATCCTTCCAGCTTGTGCTTTACTCTGATTTGAATCCGGGCAGCCCGAAAACAAAGGACATGGCGCAGCACATTGCCATGGCGTTTCCTGATTCGAAGAAGATCCTCTTTGTCGATGGTTCACAACGGGCAGATGAAACTTTGCTCCGGGCATCTGGGAACCTGCATTATGTGAACGTGCTGCCAGTTGTGGTGAGTTAGCCTTCCCATCAATCCTTGTCATATCCTCTGCAGGTATCCACACTTATTATCCAGAACAGGCATTGGCATGACTCACCTCTTCCTTGCCTTGCCATCCCACCCCTCCATCATCCCATCGCGTGCCACTGGCCATGCCACCAGGGGCTAAACGTGTACAGCATCCTGCAGCACGACGCACTCGTGGTGTCGCTGCCAGCAGTGCGCGCATTGGAGCATCGCCTCTTGTCCAGCAAGCACCCGGCGCTCCCAGCTCTAGAGGAGAAGCCCAGCGCTGCTGCAGCTGCTGCTCAGTGAGCGGGTGAATCGACTCGTCTCCTTGAGGATTTTCTTGTTTTCTGGTACAGTACCCCCCAGGGTTTCATGCTGCCGATGTTGAGGACGTTATTTGAGAAGCAGGAATCAAATGCACAAGAAACGGATTCTGTGTGGCAGTTTGCCGTGCCACAAGCCTAGTCTCTAATCAGCTGGCATTAGTTCTTGGCCATTTTGTTTTTGTAGAGATCGTAAGGCACCCACTATATTGAGATGAGAACAGGGACATGCCACGACCTGCTGCTGGGCCATACCCTCATATCTCCTGCCTGGGCTAATCCTTCGGAAGACTTCCATTAGTAGTACTCAAAATCCACCCAAGGCTCACAAACAATACATTATTGACATAATAATCCACCTTCGCCCAGATATAAAATCACAGTACACCAGAATGCAGGAAGGTTCCCCTGCTGTAGATCCGCGAAATAGCGGAAACTTATTCAGAAGCCATCCTAAGGGGATGACTGGTCGGCAGGAAGGCGACATGCTTGTATAAAGACGTCCTTACCACACCCACGTGTACCCTGCAGCCCTCGCGGCAGCCTCAGCTGACTGAGCAGCGAGCGTGGCGTTGTAAGCGCGCTGCGCCATGAGATTCGCGCTGTTATCCGCGCTGATCTTATAGGTCACCGCCTTGCTCTGCAGGATCTTAGCGTTGCTCACATTCGCGGACTTGGCAGGAATCGACGCGTTCGCGTAGCTGAGATCGAGCTGCGCCTGAACCACCGCGGCTTGAATATCGGGATCGCTCGCAATGGCTCCGTCCAGCTCAGCCTTGGCGTCGTCGACCACCTGCTGCTGCGCCGCGACCTCTTCCTGAACGCTGTTGGGATCCGTGAGAGCCTTCTGCTTCTTCGCCAGGAAAGCCTGCGTCCGCGTCGCCTGACTGATCATGTCGTTCAGAATCCCCTCCGCATCCGTCTTCGCCGCGATCGCCGCCTGCAAAGCCGCCTGCGCGGCGGTCAGATCCGCGCCGATGAGGCTCGGATTCGCGGCGCGCTTCGACGCCTTGGTGACGTCGAAGTTGAAGCCGGCGACGGCGGCGGTCTGGTCGTCGACGAGCTGCGCCGTCATGTTCAGCCGGCGCTGCGCGTCAGCGACCGCCTGCTTCAGCGCCGTCGCGTCGCGGCTCTCCGCAACCATCTTGTCGAGCCGCGCCTGCTGCTCAACGGTGATATTCTGCAGCGACTGGATCTTGGCCGTCGATTCATTAGCCGCCGCGACCTTGCTGGCGAGGGCGATTTTCAGGCGGTTGACGAGCGGGGCCGCGTCGTTGTAGGCGGCGACGGCGGCGGCGAGAGTGGCGTTGGCGGCGAGGAGGTCCTGCGCCTTCTGCGCGGCCGTGGCGTTGGCTTTGACCGAGTCGTTGGTGCAGTTGATCACATAGGCGCGCGTGCTGCGCGCCTTGGTCACGAGGTACGGCTCCGTCTGGGCGTCCGAGGGGTGGAGGGACGAGAGCAGGCACGCGGCGACGACCAGGAGGGCCAGCAGGAGAGCGGGACGAGTCGCCATGGTGATGATGAGAAACGAGGTGTTGCTGGCTTGGCGTGGGTAACGGATAGAGAGTGGTGAAGGTTTGAAGAACGGGAATGCGATGTGAAGGTTGATTTCAGCTGGACTGGGTACTAGTAGTCGTCGTACTGTTGGTGCTGTTGTGATCTTCTAGCGACAACTTGGGGGATAATATACGCGCTGGGACGAGTGGTAAGGCCAAGCTCGCACGTTCGGGGAGTTCCTGGGGAGTGGAGACCAAATGAGTGGTCGAGGGGGAGTTAGCGGGCGGTAGGTAAGAGCGCGCGTGGAGCTGGATGGAGCTATGTGCCAGCTGGGTGGGGTTGCGCGAAGTGTTTAGGCATGCACCGCGACGCAACTTGGCGGTTCTCGCATCGTCGCGTCGCCCTCATGTTCCAGAACCGCGGGGACGAGTCGCGCGTTGCGGGGAGAGCTGCTGAGTTAAGCGGATAAGTGTGGTGAATGGTGGTTCGGATCCTTATCCGGAAGAGGCGGGAAAGTTTATTACCTATCCGGTGAAGCATAGTCGGTCGCCAGGGGCCTCCGCCCCCCACCAGCAAGCTCATGTGGCTAAGAGCCTAGCTGAGAAAGTACGAAGAAGGTACCTAGCACAGGCTTGCTCTGTGGAGAGCGTAGAGTGGAAGACCCAGTGGTGTCTGGGAAATATGTGCGTCTAAGACAAGCAGATGCAGAGGCGCCATGGTTCACAGTAGATGATGAGGTGGCTGTGCTGCTGCGTGATTGCGGAGGGGGGTTGGCCCACTGGAGCGAGCGAGTGTGGAGGAGCAGCGTAAGTGTGGAAACACTTGGGCGCAAGCAGCGTGTGCACAAGGGCGGGTGCGAAAAACGACGGGCGCCATGTTCGGTTCGGAACTGGGAGTCGCTGAAGTCCGGAGGGCATCGTTGTCACTGTCAATGTCGACTCCACCCAATGGCCCTCCCTGAGCAACCAACGGTTCCGAGATATTTGGGGTGAGTCCCTCGACGATACTTTCGCCGACATTGGTCACAACTTCGACAAACATCATTACGGCTTTCATAACAGCTACATGGAACTTTATTGTTTCTACATATCTTGTGCTCCACAATTTAGGTGTCGAAGACACTCACCTACAAGCGTAAAGCTCATGGCTTTAGTGTTGAATCCCGTAGCCCAAATTGTCCAAACGCAATGTGTTTGGAAGCTTGGGATGGACTCCGCGAGCTCTGTAAAATATTTTGCCAGAATACTGTTTTCGTAAACTGAAGCTAGATTGGTAGACCCGAAAAAGCCAATCAGATACAGGCACGTTTGAAACGATGAAACGCGAATCAATTTTGGGTCATCTATTGGTCAGATCTCTAATCGAACGGCTACTTTTGGTTCGCGAGATGGTCTTTGTCAACATATATTTGTATATGTTATACGCTAGATAGGTGCATGCTCATAGAGCGTACAGCACCATAGCACAAAACCTCCCAATCAGGGCTCAAAATTGGTTTAGAGGCACCCTTGGGAATCAGGGTACCGCAATAGAAATACCCTGTCTCCTAGGGTGGAATTTTCAGCACCCTTTGAAAATCAGGGTGAATTCGTAAAAACTAGTCAATACCCTGTTTGAGTCAGGGTACTAATTGTCAAACATGTTTAGTTATCATGCTTGTATAGACTGTATAGGGTCATCTTCTAGAGAGTACAACTGTTAGGTATATGTTTGTGTACTCTCTCTCTCTATTCATCAATTTCACTGTTTGATATGGTATCACGCGTAGGTAGGATCCCCCCCCCCCCCCCTCACGCTTCCGCTCGCCCCCTAGCTGGGCCCCGTCGTGCTCCTAGCCCCGTCGCGACCCTCCCTAGCCCCGTCGCGACCCTCCCTAGCCCCGTCGCGCCCCTTCCTGGGCCCCGTTGCGCCCCTTTCTGGGCCCCGTCGCGCTCCTCCCAGGCCTTGTAGCGCCCCTCCAGGCCCCGTCGCGCCCCTTTCAGGGCTTCGTAGCGCCCCTCCAGGCCCCGTCGCGCCCCTTCCAGGGCCTGGTAGCGCCCCTCCAGGGCCCCGTCGCGCTCCTCCCAGGCCCCGTAGCGCCCCTCCTGGGCCCCATTGCGCTCCTCCCAGGCCCCGTCGCGCCCCTCCCTAGCCCAGTCGCGCTCCTCCCAGGCCCCGTAGCGCCCCTCCTGGGCCCCTTTGCGCTCCTCCCAGGCCCCGTCGCGCCCCTTCTCGGGCTTCGTAGCGCCCCTCCAGGCCCCGTCGCGCCCCTTTCAGGGCTTCGTAGCGCCCCTCCAGGCCCCGTCGCGCCCCTTCCAGGGCCTGGTAGCGCCCCTCCAGGGCCCCGTCGCGCTCCTCCCAGGCCCCGTAGCGCCCCTCCTGGGCCCCATTGCGCTCCTCCCAGGCCCCGTCGCGCCCCTCCCTAGCCCAGTCGCGCTCCTCCCACGCCCCGTAGCACCCCTCCTGGGACCCATTGCGCTCCCCCCAGGCCCCGTCGCGCCCCTACCTGGGCTTGGTAACGCCCCTCCAGGCCCCGTCTCGCCCCTACCCATCCCCGTCGCCCCTGCTCGGCCCCGTCGCCCCTGCTCGGCCCCGTCGCCCCTGCTCGGCCCCGTCGCCCCTGCTCGGCCCCGTCGCGGCCTATCGGCCGCGTGGCGCCCGCCCGGCCCCTGTCGCGGCTGCCCGGCCCCTGTCGCACCTGCCCGGCCCCTGCTCGCCCGCCCGGCCCCGTCGCCCCTGCCCGGCCCTGCTGTGGCCTGCCCGGGCCCCGTCCCTGCCGCCCGGCCCCGTCGCAGCCGCCCGGCCCCGTCGCAGCCGCCCGGCCACGTCGCAGCCGCCCGGCCACGTCGCAGCCGCCCGGCCCCGTCGCCCCTGCCCGGCCCTGCTGTGTCCGGCCCGGCCTCGTCCCTGCCGCCCGGCCCCGTCGCAGCCGCCCGGCCCCGTCGCAGCCGCCCGGCCACGTCGCCGCCGCCCGGCCTTGTCGCTGCCGCCCGGCCCCGTCGCCGCCGCCCGGCCCCGTCGCAGCCGCCCGGCCCCGTCGCCGCCGCCCGGCCTTGTCGTGCCTGCCCGGCCCCGACGCACCTGCCCCGGCCCTCCATACTTCCTGGTACTGTCCCCCGTTCCCCGCACCACTTTGCACCCTCCTGCACTTTCCTGCCCCGCCTTGCATCGCATTGCACCTCCCTGGATCGCACTAACCGCACTGCACCGCACTGGACCGCACTGCACCGCACTGCATCGCACTGCACCGCACTGGACCGCACTGCACCGCTCTGCATCGCACTGCACCGCACTGCACTGTCCTCCACTGCCCCTCATGGCTGCTGAGCTTCGTTTTGATGTTGAGGGTCAGCCTCTGGAGTTCGAGGCGTGGTTGGCTGACCTTCGCCGCCACCTCACTGGCCAGCGGCAGGACGGCCACCCGCTTTCTGCACACCTAGACGGTATGCTCCCCTGCCCTGACCCCCCTGCTGTGCTGCCCGCTGATCCCACGCCCGCTGAGCGCGAGTCCACTGCCGCTGCTGCCCTTGCCCGCTCTGTCTGGCTTTCCCGCGATGCCCTTGCTCAGCTCGCCATTAGCAATGCCCTCCCCCCCACTGAGCGCCCTCGCTTTAGAACCATTCCTACCGCCCAGGCCTACCTCGATGCTGTCATCAAGCGCTATTCTACCCCTCCTGCTGCCTCAGTGGGTCGCCTGATCCTTCCCCTGCTCTTTCCTGACCTGACGTCTTTCCCCACTGTCTCTGACCTCGCTGCCCACCTGCGCTCGATAGATGAGGCCTGGCGCGCTGCCTGCACTGATGCTCAGCTTAGAGTCCACCAGCCTCCCATGACCTCTACCCTCTACCTCCTTGCCACCCGCCTACCTGACCGCCTTGCCGCCGCCCGCGACCAGTTCCTTAGCATCCACCCTGCTGCTCTCACCCTCACCGACTTTGTTGACACCCTGACTGCCATAGAGACTCGTCACCGCTCCATAGCCCTGGCGAGCGGTACAGTACCGGTCCCTATCTTTCAGGGTTGTGCCCCCGCTCAGTGTACCTTCTCCGACGGCTCTGTCGCTGTGGCTGAGACTGCTGCTGCAGTGCAGTCCCGCTCGGCGAAGGGCCGCCGCCCCAAGGTTGGGAGCGGCGGAGGCGGCGGGGGTGCGGGTGGGGGTAGTGGTGGAGGCGGGTCGTCCGGTGCCGGTGCGGACGTGGGGACCCTGCCCGGTCCAGCTGCCCCGCTGCCTCCACAGTTGCAGCAGCCGCAGCAGCAGCAGTCGCCGCGGCCGCAGCCTTCGCAGCAGCCGCAGCAGCCGCCGCAGACGAGGCAGGCGAGTACTCTCCCACCTGGGTGGCCTGGAGCTGGTGGTGGTCGTGCGCGTGGTGGTGCACCGGGTGGTGGTTCTGGAGGCGGGCCCTGTCAGTACCAGATCCAGACCGGTCCTCGCCGCGGCTTCGTTTGCGGTAAGATCGGTCATTCTACTCCTCGCTGTTTTCGTCGCCTGGACGACCTGTTCCGCCAGCGCTTTGGCCCGGCGCCCGACCTCCCGGACTGGCACAGCTTGCTTAGGCGTAGCATTAGGATTTTTGACTTGGACATGGATGCCATTGTAGCGGCCTTGCATGTGATGTATGCTGATGACTCTAGTGTGCTTCCCTCTTATTACCCCGTGTTGCCTAGTGTAGCGGTGCCTAGCGTAGACTCCCCTGCTGCGTCAGGCGTAGGATCTCCTGCTTTGCTTAGCCTTGGTGCTTCCACCGCTTCACTGCTGCCTCGCGCGACTGCTGCGCTTTCCTTCACCTTGGACTCTGGCGCCTCCCGGTGTTTCTTCCGCGACTCCACGACGCTGACGCCGCTGCCTGTTCCCGCTGCAGTTACTCTTGCTGACCCCTCCGGTGGTCCCGTCGTTGCCCGCAGTTCCACCTCCCTTCCCTGTCCGGCGGTTCCTTCGGGCACTCTCACAGGTCTGCATATCCCCTCGTTCTCCAGGAACCTAGTTGGTGTCGGCTGCCTCCAGGACCTTGGCGTCACCACTACGTTCCCTGGTCACGAGCGGTATGCTGTCTGTACCGAGGCCGCCACTGGTGCCCCCCTGTCCACGTTCCCCCGGGACCCAGTGTCCGGCCTGTTCACTCTGGACACCGTGACCCCCCCGGCTGGAGCGCTCCCTCAGGTGGCTGCGTCTACCCAGGTTGCTGCTGCCTGCTCCTGTCGGTCCCTCACTCACCCGACTCTCCTTTGGCACCACCGCCTAGGTCACCCTGCGCTCCCGCGTCTGCGTCACATGTCCCAGCACGGTCTCGTCCTTGGTCTCCCCGGTTCGTTCCCCGAGTTTCCCTCCTCCCCCGCCCCACCGTGCACGCCTTGTGTCGAGGGCCGGCTCCGCCGTGCCCCTCACTCCTCCTCTTTTCCCCCTACCACCGCACCACTGCAGACTCTGCACATGGACGTCTGGGGCCCAGCCCCGGTCCATGGGCCGCGTCGCGAGCGCTTCTTCCTAGTGCTTGTCGACGACTTCACGCGCTACACCACCGTCTTCCCCCTGGAGCGGAAGGCCGACGTGCCTGACGTTCTCATCCCCTGGCTTGTCTCTGCTCGTGTCCACCGCGGTCTCCCTGCCTTGCGCCTTCACTCCGACCGGGGTGGCGAGTTTGCCTCAGGTGTCCTTGGTCGCTTCTGTCGTGCGGAGGGCATCACCCAGACGTTTACCCTGCCGGACTCCCCGCAGCAGAATGGGGTCGCTGAGCGACGCATCGGTTTGGTCATGGAGGTGGCTCGCACCTCCATGATCCACGCCGGTGCACCCCATTTTCTGTGGCCGTTCGCCGTGCGCTACGCCGCTCACCAGCTTAACCTGTGGCCGCACCCCCAGCGGCCGCAGGTTTCGCCGACCCTTCTGTGGACCGGGTCCCCTGGTGACGCGTCTGCGTTCCGCGTCTGGGGCTGCCTTGCTCACGTTCGTGCCTCTGGCACGGACAAGCTCACTGCCCGCACCCTCCCCTGCGTCTTCCTCGGTTTCCCCCTTGACGCGTCCGACTGGCACTTCTACCACCCGCCGTCTCACCGCTTCTTTCACTCTCGCGACGTCACCTTTGACGAGTCCGTCTCCTTCTACCGCCGCTTTCCCCACCGTGGTCCCCCGGTTACTCCCCCCTTTTCCTGGTTCCTCCCTCCCTGGTGGTCCCTGCCCCTCCCCCCCCCCGCCCCCCGTCCGGCCCCCTCTGGTGTGTCTCACGTCAC